TATATATATATATGTATCATATACGAAAAGTTGTGAGCTGTAAACATAGAAACAATGATTATTTTTGTAATATTTTGTATTTTATCGAAGCTCAATACTTTTCAACAAAGTACACCACCCTATATAAATTCTCGATATAATGAAATGTTTATTAATGCAAACCTTTATATCTTTTTGACTACTTACCATATGGGTTAGAGGTTTTGTGGTAGAAGTGTGGGTGAGTTGGGGGAGGGGGGTTGGTTTAAAGAAGATACGAATAAAAAGATATCGTCTAAGATGTTTATGATTATGGGAAACTTTTGTGGTAGTCAACTTTATCGTACAATAGTCCGCTTATCAGAGTTAGTTTCTCCGCACATTCGGCCTTAAAGACGCCATTGCTCTTAACGCTTGGACTCAAAGGTACGATAAAGTTGTACAATTTGCGAATATCCTTTTCTCTTACCTTATCGGTAACTTCCGTTAGTGTGTATTTCCGTGAAAGTTTTGCCAAGGGAAAAGAACAAAAAAAAAGAAAAATAAAATACACAAAAAGAAAGAAAAAGATTGGAAAAAAAAAACAACAACTGGATCGTTTGAAAATAAAAACCAAATTTATCGTTTGATTTTTCTAAACAATTTTTTTTTATTTTTTTTTTTTTTACAAAATATCTAAAGTGAAATATTGTCTGATAATTTTTAATATTAATTGTTTTAAATTAATGTTAGTTTCGATAATTTTTTTGTTGATTCATCAACGTTAACACATTAATGGCCGTACGTGTACGCGGTCAAACGTCGTCAAGGAGCTCGGTAATATTTTTTTTTTTTTTCAAGAATTAATTTAAAAAAAAAAACTTTATTGTCATTCATGAAAAAATTAACATAAAACAATTTAACAACAAATTTAATTTTATATATATATATATAAAGTTATAAATAAAATAACGGCTAAATGTATCGGTTATCAACACACATGTTGTATGAGCTACCATTAAAGTGTCAACGATTAATCAAATAAAATCAAATTATTAAACAATAAAAATTGTTGCAAAATCCTAAAAAAAACAAACAAACAATACAAATTCATCTGAAATATACGACAGACAGTTTTAAAGCTTCATTTCGAATTATTCGTTAAAAAGAAATTTGCTTCTCATTTACATAGAAGATAAGGTAAAGAAAAAAAAAAAAAAAACAACAAATTAGAATATTTTCTCAAGATTGGTAGTGTAAAGGTGAAAAAGAAAAAAAAGAAAATACACACACACACAGACACACACTTTCGTACCTTTCTTCTTTCTTTCAATCTTTTCGGTCAATAAAATTCGCGTTGTTAGGGTTGGTAAAACAACTTCACTTGTACTCCGATTGCGAAAGCTTGATTATTTGAAAACGCATTAACGCTGGAAGTGACGACGTAGAAAGAGGAAGTGAGAGGGGGGATGGGTGGGTGGTTGGAGTTGAGTGTTAAGAAGAAGAAGAAGAAGAAGAAGAAGAAGGATAAGGGAGAGAGAAGGTAAAAGGGAAAGGTGACAGACTGTTGGGTTGATTTCGTAGATTCAATTTGTCTTTCTTCAACGAGCTGCGCTATCCTAAAAAGAGAATTTGGAAGAAAGTGCAAAGAGTATTATCAACGTTATCAAAATTTTCCTCGTTTACTTGCTCGTTCGAGTAGACGATAAAAGTAAAAAACGAAAAGAATATTATAATATATATATATTTTTTTTTTTTTTAATAATAATTTTTCACTATGAACTATTGTAGTTGTCTACCTACGTCGTTTTTGAATTTCTATTCGTTTTCGTTGTTGTCATCATTTCTACATTTCTTACTCGTTATCGTGACAAAACATACTAGCAAGAAGTTGATCGTCGTTGTTAGATTTGTCATTTTAACGATATCATTTCTATATCATAGTAAAGTTTAAGTATTTGTATAGAAGTACTCATATATATATACAGCCAGCTTGCTTCAAAAATCATGAGTACATCATAAAGAAATAGATGTGAAATTTGTATTCTTAAGTTTACTTAAAATACAAAAAAACGATGATGATGATGATGACAATGATGACAATTTGACGTTGATATTTTGGTTTTGTCTCGACCCAAGGTATATTCGTTTCTTAGAAACCCAGGTGTACGATAAAGAACGATAAACGAAGTTTCATGGTACGCACGGGGGTAGATTACACCATGGACGATTACAACGACTATGACTACCAACGAGGAACCATAGAAACTCTGAGATATCAGAAAGAAAACCTGCTATTTTTATAAAACCACTTTTATATATATATATATATATNCTTTGCATATGTATGTATATTCATATCTATGAGCCCCCTTCTGCTTATTGCTCCTTGACTTCTTTTTATATTTTTTCTTTTTTTTTTTCAATATTGCATTTCATGCATAGTGTATGACACACACGTTACTAGGTCAAAAAGTTTGTAAATAATAGAAAATAAATTAGTGGAATAACAAAATGTTGGACTTGTAGAATTATCGAGGTAAATTTATTTGCAAAGAAAACAAAATTACGAGTAGTAGGTACATGTTACATTTTAGATTTTTTTTGTTTTTGTTTGATTGTATCAACGAATGAATGAAGTACTTTTTTGTTGACATATTCTTGGTATCCTGGAAATTACATTTTTTGAGTGTTTCTTAATTAATATTTTTATTTCTTCCCATGCAAAATTTGAATCAAACATCTATGATATAAATTAAAATTATTGAATGATTAATATTAATATAATTTTATTCATTTATTGATACACAAATATAATTTTATTAATTTATTTATACACAAATATAATTTTATTATATTTAATAATTCAAATATAATTTTATTAATTTATTAATACAAAAATATAATTTTATTAATTTATTAATATAAATATAATACATATTTAAATTACTGAAATATAAAAAATATAAATATAAAAAAAAACGTATTTTATAATAAACAATTTAAATAATTAA